TGTAGGATGTCTCCTGGGTGCCTCCCTGGTGAGGGTATCCAGGCACATCCAGGAGGAGATCCAAGCCCAGGAATCGCTGGAGGAACTATGTTTTTCAGTTGGGCAGGGAACACCTTGGTATTTCCCAGGAGAAGATGGCCCAAGTTGCCGGGAAGAAAAAAAAGTCTGGGCATCTCTGCTAGGCTGCTGGCCTGGCAACCCGACCTGAGATAGGAGGATGAAAATGGATGGATGAATGGATGGTTGTTTATTTTGAGTTGCAGACATGGATCATATCAGATTTACAAAAGAAAACCATAACAAGAAGCAATTGTTACATTTCACTCTAAGAAATGAAACACAGAATTTACCTAACCAAGTTATGTTAACTGGTTCCACTAAGCATAGTTGCTTAAGCCCATGTACAGGTAGCCAGGTTTTTGTAAAACTTAATATCATTTCCCTCCCATCTTGTTTTCAGCAAAAAAATCCATTGCATTAGGAAGCAAATTCATAGTCATGCCAAGCCTGTAGATGGCAGCAGTTCCCTCAGTCGTCGACATTTTTATCAAAAAACTTTACTCGTACTTGAAATAATAGATTGCAGGAAATAACCATCATTAACATTGTTTTTTTTGCCTGCGGTCTTCTACCTAGAGCATTTACTGAACTTGTAAAAACAAGCAAGTGAATGTAAGCTCAGGTTGCACATGTTACATCAGGAGGATTGTTGTCGCGAGCAGTGCCGTTATTGATGCCCACAAACAAATGCTGACAACAGAGAATTCGCAAATCTCCTCATTGGGAAACATTTTTGGTGCTTATATCTTCACTTCTGTGTGAATGGCAGGCCAAACCACAAAAAAGTGTCATTTTGTGAGAAACCTGGCTACTGTATACACGGCCTAAATGTAAAAAGTTATATACATTTACTTTCAACATTTTACGTACAAAAACGTATATTACTCAAGAAACTAGATTTAGTGGAACCAGCTGACACACATTTTCAGTGGTATGTAGCAGAGGTGTGACCAAGTCACTGCTTTACAAGTCACAAGTAAGTCACAAGTCTTTCCAGTCAAGTCTCGAGTCAAGTCCAAGTGAAAGACAACCAAGTCCAAGTCAAGTCCAAAGCCCTTAACTTTGAATTTTCAAGTCACAATCAATTAATTTTGTCCAACTTCAATTTAATGACAATGATAATAAATACATTCCAGAAATAAAGCTTCTTAAAGCTTAATTTATTTGCTCAAACAAGCAGAAAGTGCAACTGAAACTGATTATAAACAAAGGGCTGCTGCATTTAGCAGTACAAGATCAAACACAGAACCAAGCATGATTTAAGATTTTTGTCCATGCCGTGCCACTTTTGTGCTAAAATATTGAATATGCTCAAGTCATCATCAAGTCAAGTTGATTCAAGTCGCAAATCTTTGGCATTCAAGTCTGAGTCAAGTCGTAAGTCTTTATAGATTTTATCAAGTCAAACCAGAAGTCATTAAAATAATGACTCAAGTCTGACTCGAGTCCAAATCATGTGACTCGAGTCCACACCTCTGGTATTTAGTATAAATTAATGTCTTGTGAGTGTGTCTGTGGGATAAAAGCTTTGGTGCACTTCTTCCAGGAAGTACAATGCAAAAACTGATTTCTAAGAATAAAAAAAGTCTCACCTTTAGACATTTTATCTTATTTTTTGTCTAAAGAATTGAAAAAAAAATAGCATTACTTAAAATAAGGTAAATGTCCATATATTTGATCCAACTTTTCTTGTTTTGTGCAAAATAATAATAATAATAATAAAAATCTGCCAAAGCTAAAGTTGCTTTGCTGGAAAACTTTGATTTATTTGCAGGATTTAAGAATTCTAGTCAAACAAATTTTGCTTACCCCATTGGCATGTATTTTGTTGTTACTGAAAACAAGAAAATGTGGAAAAATGTGTTTACTTTTTATAATAAAAAGAAGATAAAATGTCTAAAAATTAGACTTTTTAAAAATATTCTTAGAAATCAGTTTTTGTAGTAGTCAGCCAGAGCAGAGGTGAGCAGAAGATGGCTGGATTTAGAGTCTTATTTCCTGATATTCGGACATCTCACTCCTTAATTGGCTAACAGCAACATGACTCTACTACTGACTCAGTTTGCTCTGCAACGTTGTTGTCTTATTTATGTTTATGTATTTAGCAGACACTTTTGTCCAACGCGACTTACAGGTGATAATCAAGCCATCAGGTTGCCCTTAAGGCTAACAACAAACACTATTCAGTCAGGTGGCAGTGAGGCAGCATAATGAGGGAAGCGAAGTGCAGTAGAGTGGGGGACGGGTGCTGGGAGGGTGCTAGTTTAGAAGAGGCTCTCTGAACAGCTGGGTCTTCAGGAGTTTCTTGAAAATCGACAGATGCCCCCTGATCTGGTAGTGCATGGTAGAAAATTCCACATCTGTGGAACAACACATAAAAAGAGTCTGGATTGTCCTGAGAGTGGTGTAGGCACTGCTAGCCAACAATCCTTCGATGATCGGAGCGTCTGGGCCGTGACGTAAGCCTTTGCAAGAGGATTCAGGTAGATGGAAGCCGTACCATCCAGGACTTTGTATTCAAGAGGCTAGCGGTAGCCAATGGAGCTCAGTGACCAGAGAGGTGATGTGCTCTTTTAGGCTGATTGAAGACCAGACGCTCCGCTGCATTCTGGACTATTTGAAGAGGTCTCACAGTACAGGCTGGAAGACCAGTTAGAAGAGCATTGCATTAGTCGAAGCGGGAGATGACAGAAGGTTTCACCTGGAGCTGGGTGGCATTTCCAACTAACACAAGCCTGAAGGAGTTCTGCTGAATGCTGTTGAGTTGCTAATGCTAACGGTTAGCTTCTACTTGCCGAGATGCTCTCTGCTGTTTTCTAGACGCCAAACCAGCAACATTCTTTCCCATCAGGAGCCAAGATTGGTGAACGAAAATTTCCTACGTGACATGGAAATGACTGGCTTTTCTAATCCAAGTGTTATGTTTATTTTCTGTTGCTGGCACAGTATACAGGGGTAGACGACTATTTTCACATGAAGCCTGCATGTTAAATCACACCTATTTTAAAAATGACAAGTAAAAAAGTTTCCCAGTAAACTAGGTGAACTTCAAAATTTCATTTAAATGTAGAAAATACAAATAGCTGCCAAGATGAACCAAAAATGATAAACTGTTTGATGCATACAAATCTTAATTTCTGCTTCACACACTGGAAATAATGATTCATTCTTATTTCTATAAAGCAATAACATAGAGCTCTGGTAATAAACACACCCAATAAAACAACTACACTTTATGCAATAAAGCAAACAAGAACCCTGATGACAAACTTTGTTCTGCCTGTGTTAATGGAGTGTTAGTGCTCTGGAAAATGAACTAGATCACAAATGCATCCCTCTTCTCATTGAGTGCCAGTGTTTATGTGTTTCATCATACTGAACTGAATGCACAGACTAAAGCTCAGCAAACACTATTAGAGTGGCAAATAGTGGCTTGCTTTTGAAATCAAATTCTATTGCTTCAATGGAGCACTAAGTTCACCATTGAAAGGATTTTGAGGAAAAACACCTGTCTTTTTTTTCTGCAAGATTTACTATATTGACATATGGCAAAGCACCAGACAAAGAGCTCATATTATGTCAGTGAGCTGTCTGCCAACGTAACCATTGATGTGTACCTTTCATGTTCTCAGAAAAAAAATCACAAAAGCCATTAAGGAGTCTGTTTATCATCTCTGAGAGCTCACCTGCACATGAAAGCCAAGACCAAAATGTCAAAGAATTAAAAATAAGATACAATAACATATCAGTTTAGCCTGCAGCTACAGCTCCATTAGGTATAGCAGAGATTAAAAGATGTTTTTTCTTATAAATTTATAAAAGAAAAAAAATCATCAGGATTTCACTGTTGTGTGGGTGAATGTGGTTAAAAAATTAGTTATTTTTAAATGTGCTCTTATGTTTCATTACAGCTATTAATAGAATGATTTCTATGACTATAGCAGATAATTTCATGTATGTTATTTTTATTATATTCTGAAAGTACTTTAAACATTATGTAGCATAATTTGCAACCTCATCTTGCCTATGAAGTGCATTACATTACAAGTTTTCTAACGATTTCACTTCCTGGGATAATTTACATAAATTTGCAAGTGATCTGAACATTGCAAATCAAACAAACCCTACAGTATGTCAGGTTAAGGTGAGGCTGAACAGAAGTCACAGTCAGAGTCAACATTGCACGCTGACATCAGAATGTCACAAAAAAGATAAAGAGCCATAGTTTAACATGGTATTATGAGTTGTTCTGATAAGCTCATTAAATAAAAACCTCAGGTTCAGTGTGTCACAAGAACATTAGAACAGGAATTTAAAGCAGCATATCTTTATTATTTGGTGTCAGCTTAACTTTGTAAACAACACCTACTTTTATGCCATGCTTATATTTGTGCTCATTAGCTGCTGTTCAGGGGCAAAATGAAAGTTTTGTCTCAAATATAATTTACAACTTCTAGTCAAATTTGAAGGTGTGATCAGTTGTAGCTAAGATCAAGTTGTAACTAAGGCACCTACAACAATTTTACCATTATCATGATTTATGTTATTATTAATAATAATATTACTACTACTACTACAATTATTATCATTGTGATAGAGTAATTACCAGACCATAACAAATTTTTTGTATAGCTCTTAAGAATGATAAATGACCCACACTTGTATAGCGCCTTTCTGAGTCAGAGCCCTCCACATAAATGTTTGGCATTTATGATGTAATTCAACCATTTAAAGCCAATAGAAAAACAAGCCAGTATAATAATAAACATTTTATGTGGTCTCAGAATCAGAATCATTCAGAAATTGCCGGAGACCTCGCTCTCAAACATCAGGGTGATTTTCATTAAACACCAGCAGCTTCCACGAATTTATCAAAACTCTCGATTTTGCCCCAAATGCCATTATTAGCCTCAATACACACGAGACACAACGTGAAAGGCTTTCTGGAAGCTGTGCGTCATGACGTCAACGGGAGCACGTGGGTTTGTTATTACAGGAAGTAAAGATGGCGGTTCCGACGTTACTATCAGAGTCTGTAATCGGATGGTCAATTTTCACCGTTATACTTCTGGTAAGAGGGTTGAGGTGTCTGCGTTTCGATTCATAAATATGTTTTGTGGTAGAAAATTGTTTTAAATTTTGTTTGCAGACTATAAAGACGCATTTTTTAAGTGTTATACGGTGCGACGTAGCGACATCGCATCAGCGTCAGTACTGGTTGGATTGGTTTTATCTAACTTTAGCCACGGCACACAGGGCTGTGGAAAACCTGCATAGTTGTTAGCAGTATTAGAATTACTGTGAAATAAACGACGGTGTTAAAGAACGCATTTACTTAATTCATCACAGTTTCCTAATTTGTCATTTGCCTGTCAACACTAAATAACCCGTTTCTGCATGAATATTTTAGTACAAGGTATTTTACGTGATTATCGATCTAGAAGCACTCAAACCTTTACGCAATCACATCAACAGCAAATAACACGCTTTTAGATTCGAGCAGCCAAGTAATCTGCGGCTAAGTTTAGTCCTCATTAGCTCTCATTCAGTCACATGGCTGAATAGCAGGAAAAAGGCCTGCATGCCATCAAGTTGCTTTTGTTTCTCTACCCACGCCCTTTTATTTGAACAACCCTCCCAGATGCTATTTGGATGCAAAGTCAGCGTCATTACCTGGCAAAACAACCATCAGAGGCTTAGAGCTGCTGGCCTTTAATTGATTGACCTTGTCTGAGTGGCAGACCCTAATCTGAACAGCAGTTTACAGCTTGTGTGTCTGGGACATGACCTTGTTGTTATTCTGAAGCCTCTTCCTGAATGGTTTTATGGGCAAGCGCAACAGTCCTTTTCTTTTTAATAATGAAGCAGTAAGAATTGAATTATAAGTAATTTTTAATTATTTCAATATATCCACCTTTGTAATTTTAGCAGATAAACTCGTTTTATTATAAATTCAGTAAATGTTGGCCATTTTATTGAATCTAAACAGGTCATATGACATCACCTCACCTGCTTCATAACACCTGAGGTCAGACATTTCAAGGTACTTGATTGTCTACTTGTTGTGTTAGCAAAAAGGCTCGCATTGAAGATTGGAGAGCTGTTTGGAAGCCTCTTTGTCATCATATCAGCTCTTTTTGCAATAAAATTGAAATATATTACGTACATTCATCTGTGTAGGCAGCCGTCGGATATTTGTAAGCTTTGATAGCTTTATTTGATGTCTAAATCCCTACTTGGTAAATGGTCTGCATTTGTAAAGCTCCTTCTTAGGATTCTACAATCCCCCAAGACGCTTCACAACACAGTCATCCATCCATTCATACACACATTCACACGTTTCTCTTAACATTCCCAGTATAAATATATATTTTGAAGTAGTTTTTAACTATTTTACAGTCCAACAAAGATCTTACCTTTCAAATATGTAATAAGATGTTTGTGATAATAGATTTTTGGTTTATTTTTTACGTGTAAACAAGCTGTAGCATTTTCTTCTGGTTTTATTTTCTTACACAGAAACCTTTTCAAACTAAAGTAGTTCAGTAAAAAAAATATAACTTTGTGTTTCATTTATTATAAAAATGTATCTGAAATTTACCATTCATTTTGTATTAGAAAATTTTTAATGATTTATCATAGCAGAATGCTTTTTCTTTATTTTTTATCACTTTTTTATGTGACTATTGTTTTTTTCTCTCCTCTTAAGGTAATTCTGGTATTCTGCTGGATCTACATTCGGAAGTTTCAGAGCCGACAGGATAGCGAAGTCGTTTCGACCATCACAGCAATATGTGCGCTGGCCATTGCTTTGATAACATCTGCGCTTCTACCGGTGGACATATTCCTCGTTTCATTCATGAAGTATCCCAACGGCACCTACAAGGTCTGTTCAGCAGACAGTCATCAGAGCAAAGGCAGAATAAGTAGTTTATCAACTCTTTTATAATGTAAAATAATTAGCAAAGTTCTTGTATTTGTTTATTATCACCACCATGCACCATGAAAGCATAATTCTTAAATGTGAGATTGACGTGAGATGCTAATAGGAGAGGATGGATTAGACAAAATTAATCTGATCCTCACATAAACATAAAAAGGTAAAGTTAGTGATTTATTTATTAGAAAATACAGAAAAAAGATCATTAGAACTTTTTTCTTAAACAAAATCCAGAAGGTTTTTACACTTGTGAGTTATTTAACTTATAGCTGATAAATATGGCCATTCCTCTGCTCATAATTTAGATATATAACACTTCTATAATAACCCACATTTCTACTTCTGATGTGACATTAACATCTATTCTTGTTTTTGCTTAATGTTCAATTGATAAAAAGCTTAAATAAAAAAAAAACTTATTTCTGGTCATAATAGGTCATTCAGCATTTTTCATGTAAGCTGAACATGAAAATAATCTACACCTGTCTGCTGCATTAGCTTCTGATAGAACATAGACGGTGAAACTCTAGGATTTAAAATGTCTGACAGAACTATGTCACACTGGTCACTTAATGTGCATGGACTCACCCATCTTGACTCACAACGAGGATGGCTGTTGTTGGTTTAGCGTCCAGGAAACGGCAGAGAACGTCTTGGCTACTAGAGCTAACAGTTAGCATTAGCAACACCACCACACGGCAGAACTCCTCCAGGCTTGTTATTTGTGAAGATAAAACATCAACATTACCAGTCAGTGGTAGACTCGCCTTGCTGTTATCCAATCTGAGACGAGATGTCCAAATATCAGGAAATAGACTCCCAAGTCCTGTCGTCTGAAGCTCAGCTGTGATGTGGCTCTCTTCTTTTTCCTGGAAATAGTGCACTGGAATTGGTGCCCCCCCCCCCCCCGCCCCCCCACACACACACCCCCACACACCCCCCGAGTACAACTTATAAGGCATTAATTTCTTCTAGAGGTCACTACAAATGTTTTGATTAAATGAGTGTACACACCTTTAAAGGTGACATGAGCTCATTTTTATGGCTTTTATCACTTTTACAGTCACCATTCTTTCTGAACTCACCAGTCTTGTTTTCTTCTGATGTTCCAGGAGTGGGCAACAAGCAATGAGACAAGAGGACAAATTGAAGCAACTGTATTGTATGGATATTACAGTAAGTGATTGTTTTTCTAAATATTTTAAATATCAATTAAAACTAATGGAGTTAATGATCCATAGTCATTACTTTTTTAGGTACAATTTGAAGAAATGTTCCTTAACCCTCTGAAGGCAGGCTTGCAGTTTTGCAACAGTTAAAACCTACCTACCTGGTTACTCCACATACGTATTTCATGAGCATTTTTTAACTCAGAAAGTACCCCTGAAGGACTTAGTTGTTCGTCCTTTTATCAAAACTTATTTTGAGCCTGAGAGGGTTAAAAGATTGGCTGTATTCTTTATTTGAGTTGACACCAGTACCAGTGAAGCTTTAATAACACCGGTAACATGAGTCCTGTAATCATCAGCAGCTAGGCTGCTAACTCAGGGATTCACACTGGCTTAATGCTTCCCACAGCAGTGACTCACTTTCCCTCTGAGCGCCTCTATAGATCTTTAAAGCTGATTATTATTCCTGGTTGTTAAATTAGACAGTTAAAAAAAATCTCTCAGATTCAGTTCCATGAATTGTCATTTCTATGCTGTAATTTATTTGTTGCTAAGGTTCCCAGAGCGTATTTGGTAGCATTTTCTTTTGGAGTCCATTCTTTTACAATAACCATTGTTCTACATACATTAGCTCAGATAATTTAGAGAACATTCTGGTCTTAGTGACGGTATTCAATTAGAAAACTGGATGCAGTTAAACATTTTAGGACCTTTTGAAGTTATGATATAAAAATCATTAGTGGATTTACAGTTAAAATTACACATATCAGGCAAAAGATCATTAAAAAAGTTCAGAATAATTAGGGTGGGTTGTTGTTTATGACGGTGTGGTATATCAAGAGTTTATAGGAGCAGAAGCAGCGTGATTTCGCTCTGCATGTCAGTCTAGCCACACTCCAGTTCAACCTCCCAAGGCTGAACTGGCCCTAACCCAAGGATTTGGTCGTTTTCTGCCCAACACATTGCTGACAAACTTGAACCCTCTGAAACAGGAGTGCAATGTTTTTTTACACATGAGATCATTGCAATGCATCCATTTATACTATAGACCACTGTGTGAATTCCACAATAGTACACAGTAGGGGTTGTATGAACTAGTCGACTAGTCGACTTCACGGCTTTGTAGTGACTTTTTATGCCTGTCATCAACTAGTCGCTGTCACGTGATAATGACTGACAAGATGCAGTCCTCGGAAGACAGCGGGTGATGAGCCCCTACGCGTCTGGATCGAGGCGGAGGCGACGCGCTATGCACACCGGCGGTAAAACGGACATTTAACCAAACTGTGACCTTTTCCCTCTTGCAATTTAACCTTCCCCTCACCCCCATCCTAATCTTAACCAGTTTGTGCATGCAAAGCTCTGATCGTTGACGTGCGCTCCAGACATCTGCGTCCTGAGCACCGCCAAATCAGGTGTCACCACCTCAAAAACAAATTAAACACGCGATCGTTCATGTCGGCTCATTTCCTTTCATGTTTTCTGTCTGTTATTTGTGCCTGATGTGTTTTGCTGCTGCGGAGCGAGGCGCATCTCCTGTTTTGTTCTCTGGTGACGCACCCCCAAGATTCCACTATCTCCACTCCGCTCCGGCACGAACTCCGCAGCAAAAACGGTCCCGTTGTAGTCGGTCGGCGAGCAGCGGCACTCCGCTGTTTTTGCGGTCGGTAGATCTTTTAGAACTGCAGTTCAAAGGTAACTCATAAGGTGAATATATATGAACCCAGGTAGCAGTTTTTCTTTAGGACTGAGAGGAGATGCAGGAAGATAATAAACAGATACAGGACTGAAAAATAGTCAAATAAAAACAAGTTAGTTTTTGTACCTGGTGGTTGCAACAAACAGACACCATTGAAGGTAATCAGAAGTGAAGAACAGAAAATCATAATTTTAATGTTTAGAGCAGCAGGAACTCCGAGAGGCTGCAGGCGCATCAGTGAGTTTGCGGCTGCTGCGCAGGGGGAGGGGGGAGAGGGTTGAAGTAGGATGCAGAAACTACCGTTGTTAAAAGATGTGTTAACTTAGAAAATGTGGGCGCAATTTTAATTGTCAAAAACTCCAGCGAACCTACCGACCGAACCCCCCCCCCCTCCCCCACTTCCGGCGTATGACGTCATCAACGACTAGTCAAAGTCGACTCGACTTTCATTACTTGACTGTCGACTTTAGAAAAAATAAAGTCGTGCAGGCCCTAGTACACAGCTGCAGACCCACAGACTCACATCTGCTGCAGGTTCATCGCCATATCCCAAAGTTGCCTTAGATGTTTTGCACTTTCTGACTTACAGAAACTGAGTTGAGAACAGTTCTTTAAAGTGGTGATGTGCATTTTCCCTGGTGATAGGGGGCAGTGCCAGGATGGCCATTGGGGTCAAAAATCCCTGGGAGCGCAACCTACAGCAAAATGAAAAGAACATCAAGCTCCCTTTCATCACGCAACGAGTGAAGAGATAAATGTGTAAAACAATGTTTATGAAAGGTGAAAGTTTTGTAACCATTTGTTACAAACCAGTAAATGTGTTGTGTCCTCACAAGATCCTGTAGAAGGAAACAGCATCGTCCAGGCACGTAGACCCGCTCACATGGTTTTTTTATTTAGATTTTTATGGTTCTATGTTACAAAGCCACCAATATTTTTAAACAACTTGTCATCCTTTAAGTCATTTTCAACAACATTTCGATGGATGTTCCCAAATATTAATGATAAAAACTACACATTGTCTCTTTAAGGGTTTTCAAGTCACATAAAAGTGAGACCCTTTGACTCAAGAGAACTGAGAACCCTCCCAGATGTTTCAAGACATTTTGGAAACTCTCTTGCGAATGCTTTTAGGATTTTGCAGCTGAGTAACAGACTGGCTTTATCCCTTTGCATAATCAAATGGCAATCCATGGCTGTGGAAGCCCCAAAGAGGGCAGGAGTGTTGGTTGTACTTATGCAAGTAGAAACGCTCCCATTTACCAATAAAGCCATTAACACAATTAAAAATTCGTCATAGTTGTAAGTGTTGCCAAAAACACCAAAGCATGTGCTTTTTAACAGATGCTAGTTTAGGCTGTTTGTTGTGTTGCCTGTTAAGGAATGTAAGACTTGAGGACAACAAGAGAGGAAGACCCAAGCAGAGATTTATGGATGTGGTGAAAGAGGATATGAAGTTAGTTGATGTGAGGGTAGAGGATGCAGAAGATGGGACTAAATGGAGACAGATGATTTGCCGTGGCGACCCTCGACGGGAAAGGCCAAAAGAGAAGAAGACTTTAAAGCAACAAGCAGCACTGTTGGCCAAAAATGCCTTATTCAAAAAAAGAAAAACGGTGCCATATAAATGTAACAAATGATCTTCACTGACTATAAATGGTCCACACGAATCCAGCGGTAAATGGGCTACAGTATATTGTGCTCTGGACATACAAACATAATTTCATACATAAGATTGATTTCCTCCTCTGCCGTCTCTCATTTGGAATTACCGTACACATACCACTAAACTGAAACGATTGGGGGAAAATGAATAATTCAGTAGACTTAGCCTTCTTTGCAGGGCTCCATCCTGTCAGTAATTTAATTAGTTTAATGGCCATACTGCCTGGAAACCCTGTTTATGGAGCAGCAGTTACACTCAAGAATTTTGTCACAGATCAGAGCTGGTTGGGTGAGTAATTAGTTAAGTAAAAACACATTTCAGCCAAAACATTAAAGCTACAAAGCAGGCACTGTGCTGCCTTCCCTCTGGCGAGGACAGTGTTTTGGTATGTCTCAAGACATGTTGTTACTCAGAAGAAATAGCAACCAAATGATCAATATTCACTTCACCTATCAGGGTTTGGAAGTTCCAGGCCTTCCATTATATCACTGACTGGTTGGAACACTGAAGATAAATGCTAAGTGGCTGTAAATTTAAAAGTTTATTATTTTTTCATACAAAACATTCAAACAAATGCAGCAGTGGTTATTTATTGAAGAAGACAGTTGATGGTGGATTCTGCTAAATTCACAGTAACATTAACCAATGTTATCAATGCACTAAAATATCATATTCTGTGTCATAAAAATACTGTATTGATATAGCTTTCTTCTGATCGCAATGGTTTCTACTTCACAGTTGACGCTAGATGACGACATGATTAGATAACATTTAGATAAATTCACTTAAAGTGATGATGTGTGATTTTGTTGCAAATCATTGCAAGCAAGCAGTATTTTTGTTTTCAAGTAAAACCTCATCAACAGATACAGATAACCATTAGGGTAGAAAATAATCGCTGGGAGCACAACTTCCAGCAATGAGTGAAGAGGTAAATGTGTAAAACAACCTTTTTGAATGGCGAAAGATTTTGAACCTTTTTTTTTTTTTTTTTTTTTTCTTCCCCCACAAATCAGTAAATGTGTTTTTTCATCACGGGAGCCAGTAGAAGGAAACTAATATGGCGTCGTCCAGAGACCTAGGGTGTTTCTCAATGTCAAGGCACCTGGCCTTTCAAGGCGATGTCTTGCGAGGCCAGGCGCCTTGCTTACGAGGACACTGTTCTTCCTTGGTGAAAGAAAACTGTTAAATGGAACAGATTTGCATCATGTGACCGCTGCTTCTGTGGCGGTCATGTAACACATCACGTGACACGGGAGATAACATTATATTTTGTATGTATAAGTTTCAATATAAATATATAGAGCCTTTTACTTTTTAAATTGTGTATATATTTGTAAAATTAAACATGTAAGCGAGTTACTACCTTCTAGCCACCGAAGCTGCCACTACTAAGCAACTATCCAACTAGGGCTGGGCGATATATCGATATTTTTAAGATATTGATATTTTTTTAAACAAGATACAAGATGACTTTATATCTTTATATCGCTATAACAGGTCAAACTGCTATGCTAACGATTAGCCGCTTTGCTAACGACATGTTGTTCCGCTTCTAAGCAGTTATTACGTGTATTCTCACAAGTTTGCTCAGTCTGAGAGCCTCTGGGTTAATGTGCTACTCTAAACTTTGCATTTGGCA